TTACGGTTAACGGGTACGGGTATAGGTAAGGTAAGGGTACGGTAAGTAACTTACGTTACTACTTTACTTGTCTATAGTACGTTGTTAGTATACTCTACTATATATATATATATATATATATATATATATACACACACACAACAACCTCCTCTTTCATTTTCAGGTCATTTTTTATGGGACTTGCAGTGTCCCCCACGGTCCTGCCTGGCGATTGATGGAAACATATGTCCCGTGACGAGGTGGTCATTTTATAGTGAAAACCTTTTGGGGAAATGCAAGGGCCGCACCTTCATTTTGAGGAATGTCTGGTCATATTGATCTTTATTTTCAACATTTCCGTCTCATTCTCTGCTGACCAAATGAATGGATGATGGGGAGAGGATAGTGTTTCAGTACTCATACCTACATACTTACTACGCACCACACCCCTTCCTGTTTTTCAATCTTATCCTCAAAATGCAGCAATCATCCATTCTAAAGTGTTTATTCTTCATTTTTTTGATAGTTAACTATAAACTAGATTATGGATATACTCACATCGTTTCTTTTGCACTGCAGTCATTCCTAATATTTTGTTTAATTTTTAGATCTCGATATAATTTCTCTTCTTCTTGGGAACAATGATATTTTTGTTTCTCATTGTACTTGGATTGTAAAATTCTATGCAGAAAGTTTATCAAGTCATTAATTCAAGGAGTTCTGCCTGGACTGGCCCTGAAGATTTTTCTTATCCTTTTGCCTACTATCTTGATGTTGATGTCTAAATTTGAAGGCTATATCGCTGTGTCAATCTTGGAAAGAAGAGCAGCTGCTAAATACTATCTTTTCCAACTTGTTAATGTCTTCCTTGGAAGCATAATTGCTGGGACTGCATTTCAACAGCTTCATACTTTCATTCATCAACCTGCAAATCAGTATGTTTCTTCTTATTCAAGAGCCATAGAGTAGTTTGCATATTCCTTTGAATCTCATTTGCAGTGTTACTTATTTTTATACTTCACATGTTTATTTGTATTTCCACATTCTAAACATACAGAATTTTAGTAAATTTGTTCCTGTTGGAATTCATTATTGCATCCAGGACCTGATACGTAATACTTAGGTCTTTAATCTGTATGATGTTGGTGGTCATAGGTTCTATCTGTTGTTCACTGCCTCTAAAGTTGTTGAATTATGGTGGGATATAAATTTTGACGTTGACATTTGTTTTTGCTGTAAATTTTCAACATGCAGCTATTCATAGATGGGGATAGGTTTGCTGTAACTTTGCAACCTATTGGTATTCGCAGATTATACTGGGTTTACTGTAGACAGCAGAGAACCTATCACTGTCTCAGATAAGGATAGGTTTACTTTAAGCGGATTTGGCCATAGAGTTTTCAATAACACCTATTCCTCCAACTTGATTGACAGTTACAATAATTGATTAGCTAACTTAGTTCTCTTGTAGTCACTAGGACTGGCATCATATATCTTGTCCTTTTTATCCCCATATTAACCATGCCCCACACAATGCTCACATGTAATCAATCATTCAAATTGATAGTGCTCAACATTGCCAGGAACCTCGCATGAAATGAAACAACAAAGGATATGTGTGATTATCTGCCATGCATGCATGACCAACCAAATAAGGCATGCTATATTATCAACCTTAATAAATTGTAACACTAAAAATTGGTGGAAGTTCTGTTCTAGAGTATCTTTCCTGCATACATGATGTAATAAGCAAGTCATATGGGCCTTCTTGAAGTTGACAAAATGATTATTTGATAAAAAATTCAAAGAAAGTATTCAGGCTTTTGATGGGGCTAAGACCAGACTTTGAGATGATTTGGGCTTCAATTTTGTACTTCTCTCCTTTGCCTTCTTCACAGATGGTGCACTTTCAGTTCTTTGGGTATTCGAGTCCGGACTGTTATCCTTAAGTTTTTATGAGGACTGTCTTCCATGATGCAATATTTGTATCCTGTGTCCCTAGATATCATAGTCATGTTTGTGGCAGAAGAGCACTCCTGGGTTGCACTATTTCATTTTGAGGTGGAAGAATACTGGAAAGTGCTAGACACTTGCCCAGGGTGCTATGACAGCTAATGAGGTCGCCCTGATGCAAGTTTGCCAATCCTAGGGCTTCCACTGGTGCACTTGTATGTGGAAACCCAAGTACACTGGTGCACGACATAACAATGAATGTAAGAGTTCCAAACTAATCCTTTTCTATGTTGACCACTGACAAAACGTTGGGGATTTGCAGAGTTTTTAACGTTTCACAAATTTGTCAAGACCCTGGTGGGGAACCCAAATAAACGGGTGCAAGACATAACAATGAATACAGTATTTCAAAGTAACATGTGGACCACTGACCACATATTGGGGATTTGAAAAGTTTTCCTTGTTTCCCATATTTGTCAAAATAAAATACAGAATATTTTAGTGAATCAATGTTATATTGGTTGTTAGTAGTCCTAGATGGAGGGCAAGTGCTTCATAACATTTATAATTGTGAAATCTTCTTGTCTAAGTTGCTGCTAAGCTTAATAACTCCAAGTCTATTTCATAAGCAATAATGTAAATGTCGTGAGTTCCTGTTTTGTTCTTATGTTCTTTTTATGCTTTACAGCATAGTTTTGAAGTTGATTGAGGATATTGCCTTTTGATTTGGCGCTACACTCCTTAAAATTTAAATATTCCCTTTCTACTTCCTTGTGGTTAGAGATGAAGAAAAGATTGTAACTCGTTTGTGAAGTTATACATAATTCATGGTCTTATCAATATAATAATTAGTACAAGAAGATTTTTTTTTTCCCTTCTTTATTGAGTTGGCAGTTTTTGGCTTCTTCTCACAACCTGACTGATTAAATATCTGCAGAATCCCCATAACTATTGGTGTCTCAATTCCTATGAAGGCAACCTTTTTCATAACCTATGTTATGCTTGATGGTTGGGCTGGAATTGCTGCAGAGATTCTAAGGTTGAAACCTTTAGTTATATATCATTTGAAGAACTTTTTTCTTGTTAAGACAGAAAAAGATAGGGAGGAGGCTATGGATCCTGGAAGTCTTGGTTTTAACTCATCAGAACCCCAAATACAGCTTTATTTTTTGCTCGGCCTTGTTTATGCAGTGGTTACTCCCGTTCTACTTCCCTTCATAGTTGTGTTTTTCGGCTTTGCTTATGTGGTTTTCCGTCATCAGGTAAAAGTTACCAAACTTTCCTTTTGATTATTAAAACCCTTTTAGGTGTTTAGTTAATTCATGTATCTGCAATAGTCTTGTTTTGCTTGCAGTAATTTCCCCTTCTGTTGTATTTATTTATATTTGCTCATAAAATCTATAGGGTTTTAATTGTCAATTTGGAAATTATGATATCTTTTGGTTTGTTTAACATAGATTCATTATAGTTTACTTCTGTTGTTATTAAACATTTCCTTTGCATGTGATTTGAAGTATCTCTGGTTTGTATCATGTGCATTCTATCGATCCATGGGCTCTCTTAATTATTCCATTTTATCTGGTTGACTTGTAAGTTTTTCTGTTATTCCTTGTGCATGTTATTTGTTCCTGTAGTTTCGTGTGTATGATTTTGTGTGGCATTTTTCTCTCTACATCAGTATTGCTGTATATAAATGCTGTCACACTCTCAGGAGTGTTTTCTTGTTGAGCCATGAAGTTACCTGACAACTAGGGCCTAAAATCTTGGCCCATTGGATTGCCTGCTACTATAAATGTGCATGATAATCAAATGCTTCCCTACTGCAATTTTTTGCATTCCCCTTCACTTTGAATTCCTGGTGCATATGGTGATGAAAGTTGATGAAGTGCAAAATTACTCTTATTTTTAATTTTTATTCAATTTTGAATGATGTATATTATAGTTTTAGTTTTAGGAGTTTTCTAGGGTTTTTTTAGTTTTTTAGGGATCGTAGGATTTTTTATTCATTTCATGAGCATTGTTCATGAGTACTGATCATGGGTACTGTTCACAAAGGTAAAACTGTCATAACAAATTTTAAATTAAGTTAGGATATATGGGTCAATGTATTATTAGTTTGGACACGTTTTGTACTTGTTATATTAAATCATAATGTATAAAATGTATGTGGGGCCTTGAGGGGATCATTCCACATGACTTTTAAAAATTGAAAAAGAGAAGGTTTTTGGAACCCTTGCTTGGGTATGGAGAAGAAATGCTAGGTTTCTTTGAACCGTGCTTGTGTTCGGCTTTGTTTCTTGTTGATTTTACTGCTTCCTCAAATTTCCTTACATCAAATTGGTATTAGAGCCCGTGATTTGTATGGAATGTACTGTAGCACTACACAAACGGTATTGGAGAGAAGATTTTTGGTTGCCTAGATCAATAACGAAGCCGAGAAGTTACAACCGGGCCTAGGGTTTGCTGATTTGGCCCAAGGTTTTGCCAAAGCAACCTAGATCGTGTTAATTTCAGCATTTTGAATATTTGCCTAGGGATTTTGGTGAACCTATGGTAGCGATAAGGGGTCGTAGAAGGGGGATATTCAAAGATCCGCTACATGATTCCAGAGATGAGAGAATTGAGGAACTTGAAAGTCTAGTTCGGCAGCTTACGTAGCATTCCCGGTCCTCAATAATGGGCATGACGATATTCTTTCGGCCCAAGAGGATCTCGAGTACAAGATTTTTCACTTTTGCGCTCCATGTAGGGAGTCGAGTGATGAGGATAGTGATAGAAGACCTAGATGTAGGAATATCACTCTGGGATTTTCAATTTGAAGGATGAGATTCTTGATTTTGACACAGAATGCATCGAAAATGAGTTGGTTGTAGATTGAGATTCACCACTAATCTTTGATATATACTCAGATAAACAACAAGATTTCTTCGGAGATCCGATCTGGGATAAGGATTAAGATGATGATGAAGAGATTTAGGAAGAGGGTGAAGAATATGGAGAGAAGGCTGTAGGAGCGCTGATCCAAATCATTGCCTTTAAAAATCTCATTAATATAGAAGAGGTGGAGCATTCAAGAGATTTAGGGCATTTGAATTAGAGTAGCACAGTGGAAGTGTGGTCGACGCATAAACCGCAAATTCTAGCCCTGATTTCAGAAAGTAATGAAATAGATGTCGAGAAAACCTCTAAAGACCAGAAAATTGGGCTTGAAATTTTCTACACGATTTTCAATAGGAGTTTTAAGGATAGCTGTACTTGGTAAATTTTCATGATTCCTCAATATACATGTCATGATTTGTTTCTTTAGGAATTTTTTTTTACCACAAGTAATATTTGAGCCGACAAAGAAGAAGAAGGTTGAAGAAGGTGGTTTTGACGCTGCACTAATCTTGGCATACTCCAAAACTCGAGGACGAGTTTTCTCCAACCAGGGGAGAATGATGTGCAAAATTACTGTTATTTTTAATTTTATTCAATTGCGAAGAATGTGTATTATAGTTTTAGGTTTAGGGTTTATTTTTAGATTTTTTTAGTTTTTAGGAATTCTAGGATTTTTATTTATATTTTATTTACTTTATGAGTGCTACTTAATTATTGTTCATGAGTATTGTTTATGGGTACTATTCATAGGGGTAAAACTATCATTACAAATTTTAAGTTAAGTTAGGATATATGGTCAATGTATTTATTGGTTTGGACACTTTTTGTACTTGGAATGTTAAATCATAATGTATAAGATGTGTTTGTGGTCTTGAGGAGTCATTCCTCATGATTTTTAAATATTGAAAAAGGGGAAAGTTTAGACTTTTGGCACCCTTTGCTTGGGTATAGAGAAGAAACCCTAGGTTTCTTTGAATTGCTTGTGTTCGGCTTTGTTTCTTGCTGATTTTACTGTTTCCTCAAATTTCCCTACATCATAAGTACATAATGACATGGCAGTTTGTCAGTTATAATGTTGGATTCTGTAAGCAGAGTCAAACTTTTGGGGAAAGAAAGCCAGATATGTAAAGGACAATGTTTTCGATACTGGAGTTCCACCCTACTCTATAGTGGTATTTATGAATGCAAAAGCTACGTACCGTTGTGCTTGTATATAACCATAGCGATTCCCTTGGTGAAGGAAAATTAAAGAAACACTACACAACAATAAAGTCTAAAATGAAAATATCAACCATGTGTGCCTCTATACTCACATCAAACTGATATGACTGAACCATGGCCATAGGGTTGCCAAGTATTGATGGCACAATCATGCAGTGGATTTGGTAAACAAATCCCCTAGTGGATACTCATAGTAAGCATGCAGCAATGATGTTTATCCATGTATTTGCCGCCAATTACTTTGTATGTTCATAAAAAATGGAATACTAGTAATTCTGGTGGTACATGCATCTTCAATAAGAGAGTTGGAGCATATAAGAAAACCATTCTTGCTATTACCCTACCGACCTGTAAGGATACGCATTGAGATTGTATCCTGATTCTCAGATTTACATAATAAAAAAGCATGTTTATGAAGTTACAAAAGGATGCTGCAGATGGTTGAGTATATGGCAACCACTCCAGTCTGTGTCAACATATCCATCAACTCGAAAGGGGAGAGAGGAAAAGAAGCAAAAGTAATTCAAAATCTCTCACATGTCAAAAATAAGGTCTTTCCACATGCATTGCATGAACAACGTCAGGCTGTTTTGCTTTCCAGTAGATCATGTTGAGCCAAAGTGTCTCATAAAGAATGGATTTGGTAATGTCTCCTATCATCTTAAGAGCATTAAAAAATTGATGCCAAGGGATTATCTTGCACTTTGCAAACTGTGAGCTTCCTTGGCATATCTGTGATCTTGATTTATCCTCGGCATATCTGTAATCTTGATTTCTTAACTTCAGGTCCAAAAGATATTAAATCCAATACCTAAAATCTTACTTTGAAAGTTCTCTTTGAAGAGGCATTGTAAATTTATAACATCCTCGTGATATCGCCAAGTTTCTAGAACTTGAACATGAAGAGTTGTATTCTGTGACTTATTTAATCGTTCCATGTATTCTTGTTTCAAAGCATTTATATGTTGTACAATTTGTGGACAAAATTCGGATTATTTGACTACTAAGCAAGAGTTTGACACATGGACCTCTCTCTTATCAGGAAAAAAAGGAAAGATGGACCTCCTTATGGTTATTGTTACATTTAAACAGTACCACCTTTGGAGTACTTTTGACCTCAGTGCACTCAGCAATGGCATCCCTCAAAGTGAAATATCAAATGTAACTGCCAAATCTTAATAAATTCATGATCTTCCCTTAATGAAAATTTTGGAAATGAGATATGCTAAAGACTCCTTTCATATTGAAAGGTATGTAGACTTCAACGAACCTGTTAAAAAGAATAAGCATAAAAAAGCTGGATCCATAATGAAAAAGGAAATATTATTATATTGCACTGCTTACGGCCTATCACTAAGCTGTTGCATTAATTGCTTTCTCCTTGTAACACAGAAAACCTAGTCTACACTCGAGAATATTCTGACAAAAGCGAGTTGAGAGTAGGGTTCCGAGAATGAGGCTGTAGCCCATCATGATCCCAATGGACAAGGGATGAGCTTGCAGCAAATTTGGAGTCATTGAGGAGCCATCGACAGATTTGTATCCTAGGTCCAGGAACCTTGGTGGAAGAAGAGTGTTAAGCAAGAGACATAAGCCTTACTATCAGTCCAACGAATTCCTTCACTGATCCTAGGGGAACACAAAGTTATGCTTGAGAACTTAAGTTTGTAATCAGGAGCTAACATATTGACAGTGGACAATGTGAACTAGCACGGTTTATATAGTTTAAAATTTTTCCTTTTCCAAACTGGCTAGCACACTTACATAACTCCAAAGATTACAATAAGAACTCATATAAACAAATAAAACTCCAAAAATGGATTATCACTTGCTGCCACTTTAACAACTCTTTATTACATAAACAAAAATTACATAGATTTGATCTTGAGAACAAGAAACATAAAGTGCAGTAAAATAAAAGAGATGCCAAAAGATTACCCCAATTGGACTTGATACACCCTACATTGTGTCTCCTCTACCGATAGAGCACGGGATCAAGGCCTTTCTTAGATCTTACAACTTTGGGAAGCCTTGTGGAAACCCCTCAAGAATATGAGAGCAAGTGGAACAAAGTATGGGCCTTTCTCTTCTTTCTTTAAGTGGGATGTTCCCCCTCTAACAATATATCTAGTATGGGACGTGCCCCCTTCTAGGGTTTAGA